TTTCTGAAGAAGGGTCCAGACCCGAAACGTCAGCTTTCCTGCTCCTCTGATGCTGCTTGGCCTGCTGTGTTCATCCAGCTCTACACCTTGTTATCTCAGATTCTCCAGCATCTGCAGTTCCTACTATCTCAGGTTAAATACTTCGGCTGTTTAATGTTTGCCTCTGATGTCAGAGTCAGACTGATGGGTTCCAATAGATCTACTGTGTCTGGGGTGATAAAGGCACAGTTCCTGAAATTAGTTTCAATCAAATGTCCACTGGATTCACACAGTCTGGACTGGATAAGGGAAGTTTAGAAGATACAATGGGATGTTGAGAATGGCTGTTGAGGTTTGATCTTTCATTTAGACCAGGCAGTCTGAAAACTCAATAGTCTTGAGGTGTTGGCCCATCTTTAAACAACCAAAGAATAAATTCCACAGATGACTGTGAGATACCGTTGCTGAGGTTCATACTTAATTAGGTACTTACTGGGGACACCAGAGTCTCTGTAGTTCAACTGCCCCACATCTGCCTGAGAAATATATGAGTAGGACTGGAATAGAGGGATACAGTCCCCGGAAGGGTAGGGGGTTTTAGTTGTGACAGGCAGCATGTCTGTGGAGGCTTGGAGGGTTGAAGGTCTTGTTTCAATGCTGTAATTTTCTTTGTTCTTTGTTCTGTTCTTTGTGATTTAATGATTAACAATCCTAACAGCTTCCAGCAATTAAAGTTCATAGTATAACATGCCTGGACTGGGTGTAACAACATGTTTGAGAGTGGTGATGTGGGTGAAGTTTAATTAAAGCATCTGAAAATGGGTTTACCACAGCATATAACGACATCTCACTTCCTCAAATATTAAGTAATAATATTAAATAATGAAAAATAATCTTGCAACATTTTTCATCTTAGATTGGGATTCAGTATTCATTAAATAGTAAAAGAAAATAATTCAGTCTAACTTATAGAGTTCTTGCTCCAAAGGATTCCAGTTTAATATTTTAGACCTGATCAGAGGTCATTGGGAACCTTGCTGTGGGAAGCATGCCCTGTTTTCTGGGAAGGGCTTACTTCTGCAAAAGATCCCAGAAGCTCAAATTCCTCTGAACATTGCTTGCACTTAAAATGTTGTGGTGTTAGTTTGACTTTCAGCACTGTATGTATACAGCCCTGCGTTAGACTGCTTATCAAGTGAAAACATCTTCCCCACACTTATCCTGACATTTTTAAAGACCTCCATCAGAGCACTCTTCAGGCTTCTCTGTTCCTTAGGAAGAAATCCCAATCTGTTTGGCATTTCCTGATGAATAAGTGTCTGCAGGTCAGCCACTTCCAGACTTAGCGATTCTAAGATCTCCCCCAAAGCTTTGACCTTCCACCATCTGTACCTTTCAGCTCAGCCACAACTCTGCTCACTGCTGGTGGTACGTGATAATGTCATTGGGTTAGTAATCCAAAGGGCCAATCAGTTAATCAAATCTGTATGCTAAAGGTAGACCCAGTACTCCTGACCATGAATCACATTGAGTCATGCCAACCTGATTTACTGATGTCCTTCAGGAAATGAAATCAGCCAGCCTTACCTGGTCTGGCCTACACATGACTCCAGACCCACAGCAAGGTGGATGACACTTAATGCGCTCTGAAATAGCTGAGAAACCTGCTTAACTACTGCTAGGAGTGTGCAAAAAATGATGGCCTTGTCAGTGACACCCACCTCCTGTGATAGAAAAAGCAAAAGGAAACTTTCATCAGGACACAACCTTGAGCTCTCCAACTTGCAATTGGCTCACAGCCCAGCAACACCTCTATTAAAAAAAACCCTTATCATTGTTTTCAAAACCCTATGTAACCTCATTGCTCCCTATCTCTAGAATCTCCTCTGGGATCTTCTGGAATCCCAGAACTCTTCCAGTACTGGTCTCTTGAGCATCCCTGATATTAATCAGTCTATCAATGGCAGTTGTGCCTTTGGCTTCCTCAACCCCTGAGCTCCCTCAATAAACCTCTCTGGCTCTTTCAAACCCCTTGAAGCTGCTGAGCAAAATCTTGTTTCTTTTAGTCACTCGCTCTAACACCTTCTTATGTGACCCGGTGTAAATCTTTGACTGACGGATGACTTCAAACATGTTTACTGGTTAAAAGCTGCTCTACAGAAGTAGGTACTTGATGTGTGGGGCAGCAGAGAAAGCTGGAGGGAGGCGGAGAATCTTTTGTGTTGTTTAATAAGCCTAAAGAATATTTTCTTCTCCCGATTCAGGTCTTCCGGTGTCTCCCATCGGATCTTGTGCGGAACAACATTGAGTTAGCAGAGTTCAGCGCTAAGGCGGGCCTGCATGAAGAAGATCCAGAAAGAGCTGTGGAAGAATTGAAGAAGATCCGAGGATTCTTGGTACAATTCCCGTTCTGCTTCTTGTCTGAGGAGAATCTCCTTCCAGCGTTGAGTACGAAAGAGCGGATGGTCCCAATGGAGGTGTGGACATGAGGGAGCGAGAGAGAAGAAGAGAGAATGTGGGAGGTGCTTTGTCCATGAACTGGTTATCTTCCTATTGTGTCCAATACTGGTGAAAGTATCTATTGGAGACCAACATTACAGTGAAGAGTTGAGGAGTTAGATCAGTGGTTTCATCACTCAGGACATTCAACCTCTTGGCTGTAGTGCTAAAAGACAAATAGGATCCATCAACTCAACATTCAACCCAGGGACAATGAAGTACAGCCTCTGAAGATTTTTAATTCTTGTTATTACTCAAAGCAGACACTAAATATGGAGGAATTCAAACTCTTGAAACTCTGTTTCTATCAGAACTTTTTGAAGATTTTTTGAACTTTCTCTTGGTGTAAATTGTGTTTTCCTCATGGCGCACATGTGGGTCGATGCTGCGGGGTGGAACCTCACGTTTTCTCTGATGCTGCCACTTGCCTAGTTCAACTGAACAATGATCAATCTTTGTTTAGAGTTCCAGTAACTCTACCTCAGATTGTTCCACAGTCTTGACCTCCCTGCCAGGTCTCCATTTTCCCAACTGATCCCACATACGGCCTGTTTCTTTTTTTGTCACTTTTAGTGCCTTGAGAATGTCTCCAAAGAGTTGTTGCTCTCAGTTTTATTGTACTATGTAATGTCAGAAATATTTCTGTCAGGGGAGCCATTTCACCTCCTCCTTTCCACATTATCCAAGCCCCGACCTACTGAACTCTACACAGCCAGATCCAAGTTAGGGCAATTTTGTCTCCCAGTAGTCACAGCACAGAAACAGGAGATTTGGCCTTTCTGCTCCCTGCTGGTGTTTATGCACTACACAAACCTCCTCCCACATTTCTTCATCTCTCCCTTTCTCCCTCAATTTATTCAGCTTCCCCTTAAATCAATTTGTACTATTCACCTCCCTCTGATCGTGAACTCCACATTCTCAGCTGCTTCCAAAACAAAATTGCCACCTCTGTCACCAGGGAGAGAGATATCGCACTGCTTTCAGTTCTTGTTTCTTTAGAGCAACAAGGTAATCATTGCCAGTTCCGAAGAATATACGTATTTGAGTTGAAGTATAAACTCCGATCCTCTTTCCACAAAGGTGAATTTCTCCAGCACTTTCTGTTTTTATTTCAAATCTTCAGCATCCACAATGTGTGGATTGTATTTTATTATTATGAAATATAATAGGTAATGTTTAGTTTTAAATGGCAGTTAACTGTTGGTCAACCTGTAACTGCGGTTTCTCCATGCCAATGCCTCTCCCAATCAGAGTCCGCTTGCCAACTAAACAGCACTGTCTTCTCATACAGTAGGAATGTGTTCATCCCTTTTACTTTGGTATACTTCTTATGAATTGTCTTGTTAAATGCAAGATGAAAACTTCAGCAAAATCCATCTTTTGTCAGTAATAGTTTAATTTTATTGAGGGAAATAATTAATTTGGTCAAAAAAGGATTCATCGCTGGATTGCAGTCTGCTTTCACCCAGCAGGTGACAGTACAGAGTCCCGACCTGAAACGTCAACTTTCCTGTTCCTCTGATGCTGCCTGACCTGTTGTGTTCCTCCAGCTGCACACTGTCTTATCTCTGACTCCAGCATCTGCAGTTCTCGCTATGACAGTACAGCTCTCTCTGGTTGTCCTTTCTCTCCATCATTCTTAAAATTCTCCCCATCGCAAGGTGACGTTCCTCATGCTTGTAGTAGAAATAAATGCAAATGTGAAAATGCTCATGTTAGAAGCAGAGTAAAGCACCTGTCTTTAGCCACCTCACCAGTCCCACTCTGGTCAGGTACAATATGGGTTAGCTACAGTGTAAATGGTACAATCCAGGCTGGCCATTACTGAGGGAGTGCTGCACAGTCAAAGGTGCTCGCTTGCAGCTAAAATATTAAATTGTGGACCTTCAGAGATTCTATGGCAATATACAGAGGGCAGAAGATTCATTAAAAACATGAGAATGTGCTGTTTAGCTCACTGCTGTTCACAGTGCCTCATTGTTCCTGGGTCAAGTATAGAGTAGGATACAAAGTAAATCATACACCATTCCAAAGCATTTTTTTTCCATTTTGTGACTCCTTAGTTCCTTCATAGAATCCCTACAGGGTGAAAAGAGGCCATTCAGCCCATCAAATCTGCATTGACCCTCAAAGAGCAACTGAACCAGTCCTGTATTTACCATGACTAATCCATCTAACCTGCACATAACAGGATAATTTGCCACACCCAATCCACCTAACCAGCACAGCTTTGGACTGTGGGAGAAAACCTGCACAGACGCAGGGAGAATGTGCAAACTCCCCACAGACAGTTGCCTGAGGCTGGAATTGAACCCAGGTCCCTGGCACTGAGTGGCAGCTGTGCTAACTACTGAGCCACCGTGCCACCACACCTCTGTTCTGTACTGAATTAGGAAAAAAGGATTGTGTTGTGTTTTAGCAAATTTATGCCACCCTGAACTTATAACTGACCAGAGACAGACTTTCATCACTGCCTGGATCAAGTTTGAACCCAGTACCAAGTAGTCTAAAGGCACATCCTTTTTACAGTACTCTTAATCCAGTAAAACATTCCAAGGAGCTTCCCAGGATGGATTATCAAGCAAAATTAACACTCAACCACAAGAGACACGAGAACAGGGGACCAGAAACATGATCAATGATAAGAGATAACAAGGTGTAGAGCTGGATGAACACAGCAGCCAAGCAGCATCAGAGGAGCAAGAAGGCTGACGTTTCAGGCCTAGACCCTTTAATGAGACCCTTCTTCAGAAACATGATCAATGCGATGGTTTTATGGACCGTCTGAAAGGAGGGCAGGCAGAGGGTAATAGTGAGGGAATTCTAAACCAGAGCAATCAGGGAGCTTAAGGCACGGGCACCCGTGAAGGAGCAGTTCAGAATGAGCAGCCTCAAGAGGCCAGAATTGGAGGGATGCAGAGATCTCAAAGGGCTGGGGGGGAGACAAGTGAGATAGAGAACAACCAGGCAATGAAGTGACTTGAAGATAAGGAAGGACATTTTAAAATTGAGGTGTTACCAGTTTGGACCCTAATGGGTCAATAAGCACAGGGGTTTGCTGATGGTATTGACAGGACTTAGTGCGAGTTATGGGTTTCTGCTGCATTTATGTACAGTTAAAGATGGGAGAATGGTTAGGGAGCTTGGGATATTCCAGTCGTTAAGTGACAAAGTGACAAGGATGAGAGTTTCAGTCAAGGCAAGTATGGTAATGGGCAGTTCTGCTAATGAAGGGGAAGCAGAAGCAAAGTCTCTTTGGAAGGATTGGATGAAGTACTGTCAACCAGTGCTGTGGTTTTACCAACAACAACTTTGTTAGCACTTTTAATGTAGTAAAATGCCCCAACAGCTGCACTATTGAAGAAAATTTGACACTGAGCCACATGAGGAAATAGTGATCAAGCTCAGCCCATGAGATGGGTGTTATGGAAAATTCTAAAGAAAGATGCAAAAGTGGAGAGGCTTAGGAAGGAAATCACTAATCCTGAGGGTCTTGGCGATTGAAGGCGCATTAACCAGTAAGTGGGGACATACAAGAGGCTAGAATCGATGTTGCTCAGTCCCTCCACTACCCTCTGCACACTACAAAGTAATTTGCTGAGTGCAGCTGATCTCACTCTAACTGAGCAGCTTGTTAATTCGTCCTGTACACAAAGTGTCTCTGTTACTGCCAGTGGCTTTTTGAACTGAGCTGGGATATAAACAGCAGCAAAACAAAAATGAAACCCTCAGACTATAAAGATTCCAAGATTCCTCCTGATTTTGCTGGTCAGCCCTTGTACTCCAGAACTAGAGGTTATGTTTAAAATCAGGGGACCTCCTATTTCAGACAGAGGTATGGAGAGTATTCTGCGTCGTTGGAATGCTCTGTGAAGGTGGGGGAAGCAGAATCATTGGATATTTTGAAAGCAGAGATGTTTACATTCTTGATAAGCAAGATGGATGAAAGGTTATCAGAGGTATATGGGAATGTGAATTTGGGGTCACAATCAGATCAGCCATTATCTTATTAAATGAGGAGCTGAATGGTTCCTTATTCATACGTATGCTCAAATGTACTTCAAAATCATTGATATTTTATCAAGTGCTTTTCCATTTTCACAATGTAAACCAAACCATTAGCTGCTTTATCTAATTTATATTTTCCTGTAATGAGGTGATCAAAGTGAGGTATTATTTAAGACATTGGATGATATCAGTGGCTATCCTTTGCCAGTTCCTGGTACCCATGTGTGGATATGGCTGGTGTAACTGTAAAGCTGCGACTGTGGAAATGGATAGTTGGAACTCTGATTAAGAGCCGGTGTTGTTTCCTAGTCAATAAAGGACTCTAACAGCCAGATATTTGGATCAGATGTGCAGCCTGCTTAAGTAGGTATCCTATAGAGGCTATAACCTTTGACCATGTAAATATCACACTGAGACTCTGTACCATGGTGAAAACTGTTTCCTGCAACCCAATCATCAGAAATATAAAGTCCAGAAACAAGAGTCATGTAACCATCACTAATCCATTGAAACAAACTGGTTATTCATAACTTTTTTCATAAAATAAATGATCTATCATTACTGTCTGCTGATTCACTTTCTTCTTACTATTGGAACAAGATGAGATTATTCAGCTCCTCAAGCCTGTTCTGCCATTCTGTTACATCATGGCCGTTATGTACCTCAATTCCTTTCTCCACTTTTTTAGCTCGATTCCTCTCTCCCCAAAGCCTGTCCACCATTTAAAAGGCACATGTCAGGATTGTAACAGAAAACTCTCTACTTGTCTGGATTAGTTCAACTCAAACTTCTTTCAAGAAGCTTCTCACTATCCAGGACAAAGCAGCCCAATTAAAAGGCACCCCATCCACCACCTTTAATGTTCACTCTGTTCACCACTGACACAGAGCAGCAGAGCTATGTCCCACGTACAAGGTGCAATGCAGCAACTCACTGAGGCTCTTCCATCTGAAGCTTCTAAACCATGACCCCTCTACCATCTAGAAGCACAAAGACAGCAGATACATGGGAACATCACCACTCGCAAGTTCCCCTCCAAGCCACTCATCACCCTGACCTGGAAATGTATCATTGTTTCTTCAGTGACACTGGGTCAAATCCTGGAACTCCCACCCTAAAAGGCACTGTGGGTGTCACTACACCCTAAGGACTGCAACAGTTCAAGAATGTCCAGGGCAATTAGGGATGGGCAATAAATATTAGATAAGCCAGTGACACCCAGATCCTGCAAAGAATAAAAATTATAACAAAAATATGTCAATCTCATTCTTAGATAATTCATTTGTGAGCTCATTGTTTATTGTCCAATGCTCTAAGAAGAGTTGAAAAAAGCCACTCCAGATCTCAGGAATTTCTAAGATAAGGAAGTTCAATTCTTTTCCTTGGAAACAGTGGAGGATTAAATTGGAAACTTCCAACTTGGATGTTGTACAAGAAGGACAGCAGGGACTGGCCAGATAATTACAAACCAGTTTAGTTTGATTTCAGGGAAATTATTGGAAAAAGAAGTCTCTGGGATAGCATTAATCAAAACTTGGAAAGGCAGAGATTGATCAGGGACAATTAGCACAGATTTATTGGAGGGAGATCATGTCCAATTTATTTGAGTTTTTGAAAGGGTGACTAAATATACTGATGAGGGTAAGGCAGTTGATGTGGTTTACATAGACTTCAGTAAGGCCTCTGACAAGATCCCACATGGAAGGCTGGCCCAAAAGGTAAGAGTACAGCGATAACAAGGTGTGGAGCTGGATGAACACAGCAGGCCAGGCAACAACAGAGGAGCAGGAAAGCTGACGTTTCGGGTCTGGACCATCAGAAATGGGGGAGGGGAGAGGGGCTCTGAAATAAATAGAGAGAGGGGGAGGCGATGATGGGAGGTGGATAGTGGAGCAGAAAGGTGGAGAGAAGACGGACAGGTCAAGGAGGCAGGGATGAAGCCAGTACAGGTGAGTGTAGGTAGGGAGTTGGGATGGGGATTGGTCAGTGAGGAGGGAGGGGCGGGCAGGTGGGAGGGAAGACAGACAGGCCAAGGAGGTAGGGATGAGGCTAGTAGGTAGGAAGTGGGGTGGGGGTTGCTCAGTGAGGTGGGAGGAGCGGATAGGTGGGAGAAAAGATGGACAGGTCAAGGAGGCGGGGACAAGAGGGGCTAGTCTTGGGATGAGGTCGGGGGTGGGGAGATTTTGAAGCTTGTGAAGTCCACATTGATACCATTGGGCTGTAGGGTTCCCAAGCGAAATATGAGGTGCTGTTCCTGCAGCCTTCGGGTGGCATCGTTGTGACACTGGAGGAGGCCCAGGATGGACATGTCTTCCAAGGAGTGAGAGGGGGAGTTGGAGTAGTTCACGACTGGGAGGTGCAGTCGTTTGTCACGAACCGAGCATGGGTGGGTTTTGTTCATTATATCTAAACATTTTGGTTTATTACCTACAGCAGGCCTGACATGGGAAGGGTACAAACACAGTGAAGAATCATCCAGTCAGATGGCATCAGCTCTCGGGGAAGGCAGAGAATTGAGAGATGAACATGTCAGGTGACCAATGGTAGTTGTGTAGGCTGGGGTCGAAGGTAAGAGGTCTTGTCATTTCACCCACAGGTATGCGTCCAGAGCTAATATTTTGAGGAGTAAGAATTGAAAATGCGCTGAATGTAAGGGAAAATGGTAACTATAATTGTAGAAATTTGATCATCATCTGAACCCCAATCAGAATGAGAGCTTACAAGTAACAGCGTGAAAGAGAATATCACATGTTTAATTTTACAGGAATTGACATATCTGCCATTGGGTCCTCAATTGGAGGTGGACATTACCTGGGACTCTGTGTCTCTCCTCTGAAACAGAATGTCATTGTTTAAGTCCTGATTCGTGCCACTCAAGTTTATAATTCAGATTGACACTTGTAGTGGCAGCACAGGCATGGCATTACTGAAGGAGAGCTGCCATATCAGAAGTACTGTTTTTTTTGGATATATGTTAAACCTAGACCCTGACCCTGGATGCAAATGGTTTTGCAGAACTGCATGGAAGAGGAGAGGGGACATACCTCCCTGACATACTGGCCCTGCAATAATCGTTCAATAGATATCAGAAAAACAGACAATCTAATCATTATCACAGAGTCCCAATGTCACAGAGGAGACCATTCAGTCCAGTCCTGTTTGTGAGGTCCTGCTATGCACAAATTGGCTGCCATGTATCAGCAGTGACTACATTTCAAAAAGCATTTTATTGGCTGTGAAATGGTTTCGAGTATGCAACAATCATGAAAGGTTCTACAGGCATAGATTGTACTTTGAGATCTGTAAAGGAGGATGTATTATCAACTTCCAACCTCTGCTGTCCTGCAGTTCTCACACTCCTCTCAAACCTTTATCCACTTTCCCTTTCAGACTATGTTCCAGTTCTTAGAGGTAAAATTTCACATTGATCGCTGTGTAAAAACCTCCTCCCGAATTTCAAAATGTTTTCAACGTCTTCAAATTCGTCATGAGTTCAGCTAATCCACAGATTTAGTTGAACACCTTGTGGTGCGGCATCACCTGAAACAAATTCATTAAAAAATGTCAATTATTAACAAAACTTTCACATGTTCAAGGATAATCATTTGTAAGGGGGACTAACAAGTATTTCAATGACATTTATTGGCAGAAGTTCTGCTTCTGTGGCCAGACCAACAAATGCAAGTCAGCTGAAGTGGAATTTTCATTCTGTCTAATATTTAAGGGGTTAGCTGTTATTAGAAAGTATGGATCAGAAGAAGCTCACACAGTTGTGTTTCAGCCTCTCATTCTGAACATTGGATTTAAGTCCCATTCCTGAGACGTAAGGGGAGATTCCAGACTGGCTCTTCCTGTGCTGTACTGAGGGGATGTTGCAGTGTTGATGGTGCTAAATACCTGAGAGTTTAAACTGAGGCTTTGGCTACCTTCTTGTATGGATGTGAAAGATTCCATTGACATTATTTATTTTATAAATATCCTGGTTTAATGCTTTTCCTACAGCAACAATAACAGCCTTGCTCCCTACCTCTTCTCCTCCTCTTCTAGCTACTATTTTACTTGGAGGTCACCACAAGGCTGGTCGATCTCTTTTCCCCAACTTCTCCTTTCAGTCACTCAGTTGTCCCTTAATCAGCTCTTAGCTCACCTTTTTGTCCACCTTCCTAGCTGTCCCATTTCCATTATCCGTCTCACCAAATTATCATCCCTATTTCCACAACATTCTCCTCATCTCCCTCCATGCACAGTCTGAACTGCAATAGTTTTATCCAATTGCTTAACATGATCACTCTAGTTGTTTGTTGGCAGCAATTAGGTGAAAGCAAAACATAAGTGGAGCTTTACAATATATCTAACCCTGAGCTGTCTTTTTTTTGGGAGTGTTTGATAAGGACAGTATAGAGAGAGCTTTACACTGTACCTAGCCTTATGTCTACATCTTCTAGGAGTTTTTGATGGAGAAAGAGCAGAGGGAGGTTTACTGTGTATATAACCCTGTGCTGTATTTGTTCTGAGAATGTTTGATTAAGAAAGTGCAGAGGGCAATTCACCCTGTATCTAACCCTGTGCTGTACCTGTCCTGAAAATTTTTGGTGGAGAAAGGATAAAGGAAGCTTTACTCTGTATCTAACCCTGTGCGTTACCTGTCCTGGGAATTTTTGATGGAGAAAGGATAAAGGAAGCTTTACTCTGTATCTAACCCTTTGTGTTACCTGTCTTGGGAATGTTTGATGGAGAAAGGATAAAGGAAGCTTTAATCTGTATCTAACCCAGTGTGTTACCTGTCCCAGGAATGTTTGATGGAGACAGTGTAGGGACAGCTTCACTCTGCATCTAAGGCATTGCTGTACCTGGAACAACAATAGAAGTTGCTGGAAAAGCTCAGCAGGTCTGGCAGCATCTGTGAAGAAAAGTTTAGAGTTAACGTTTTCGGGTCTGGTGACCCTTCCTCAGAACAGTGCTGTACCCGACCTGGAAGAGTTTGATGGGGACAGTGTGAAGGGAACTTTACTCTGTAACTAACCCTGTGCTGTCATGCTGATGATCATGCTGAGTGTCTGAGGTTCATCAATTTCAGTTTTCAGCTCTAGCAGTTCTTACTTCAATGGGGACAATAAATAAATAAATATTCTGAGAAATTAGTTTTGTGCCTGAATAAATTTGGGAACTCCCCAGCACAATGACATACTGCTATCCTTCACTCTCTCGTGAACATAACCAAGGCTAAGAGCTTAAAAATGAGAGCTTATCTTGTCATCTGAGGTTCTGCTTGTGACACTGCCCTGAGGTGGGATTCCTGCTGACCTGAGATAACACCATTTGAAACATTCAAAGTGAGCTTTCAGTTCAATATAAGGTAATGGTTCTGAAAGGGTTAATGTTAGACATTGTATTAAGTTCCCCTAATCTGCCAATGTTTTAAGGTGTCAAGTTTTTGAAATTGAGATTATTATTAGATCTTGTTGGGTGAAGACTTATTTCCATATGTTTCCCAATTGTCTTAGTAGCAATGTCTACGTTTTATTTTTTTAAATTATTAATCAACCTGTTCAGAGATGTTATTACA